TATATATATATATATATAAGTAACAATCTACAATGGCTAAGGGAGTGGGGAGGAATGTTAACGTGGGTGGCAGGGCAGGCAATATACAACAAGTGGAAGGTTAGTAGAGGAAAGATGAAGGTAGTGGGAGACACAGGGAGGAATGAAATAGTTAAGGGAGTAGAGGTAAATACTGCAAACTGTTGGTATGTGGAGGGGATTGCAACCATGTAATGAAACAAAGTATATAATTTGCTTAATGTAAAACTGGTAGTTTGTTCTATAAACTTTCACCCAACAATAAAAAAAACAAAAACGTTGAAAGTTCCAAAAGATACGAAGAAGAAAGTAAAAATCACAGTGTAGTGCTTTTACTCAGAAAAACCCCAAAACTATATCATGTTTGGTAAGGTGGAGGGTCAGAGAAAAAGAGGAAGACCCCCAGGGAGATGGATTAGTAAAGTGGCAGCATCAATGGGCTCAAGTGTGGCAACGATAGTGAGGTTGGCCCAGGACCAGGCAGTGTTTGGTTCTGTTGTACAATGGTTGCTATGAATCGATACCAACTCATAGCACCTAACAACAAAAACAACAAATAAACTACATGTCCATATATACTTATCATGGATATACTGTTGCTGCTGTTAAGTGCCATTGAGTTCCTTCCTTCTCAAAGTGACACTGTACAGGGTTTCTGAGGCTGTAAATCTTTCTTCTGTGGATCAGCTGGTAGATTTGAATTGCTTATCTTTTGGTTAATAGCCCAACTCTTAACCCACTGTGTTATCAGATCTCCTCCTGTCCATGTTGTTATTAAGTGCCATTGAGTCAGTTCTGACTCACAGCGACCCTGTATAGGGTTTCCAAGGAGTGACTGGTAGGTTTGAAGTGCCTACCTTGCAGTTCAAACCGACGTAGCAGTGCTTACCCTACAGCACTACACCAGGACTCTCTCACACACACACACACACACACACACAATTTTTAGGACTCACATATTTTTAACTAAATAGGTTCATACATAGTGTCTGGGGGGCAATGGTAGAATTCTCGCCTTCTGTGTGGGAGTCCTGGGCTTGATTCCAAGTCAATGTACCTCATGTACAGTTACCACTCATCTGTCAGTAGAGCATTGTGTGTAGTTTTGATACATCATTTTATTTTGTTGTATGTGGGATTACCATGAATTGGGAGCCAACTCAACAGCAATCGACAACAACATACATAGTGTCTGCTGCTGTTGGTGTTAAGTGCCATTGAGTTGGTTCCAAATCATAGCATTTCTGAGGAGTGACTGGTGGGTTTGAACTGCCCACCTTTTGGCTAGCAGTTCAGTACTTACCCTATAGCACCATACCAGTAACCTGCTGTTTCCCTAGTTAATATGCCAGAAGACAGATTTATTAATAACTTTTACCACATGCCAGATTGTCCCTTGTCCTCTTTTTCCCTCAAGGTCAGTGGGATGAGTTACATTTGTTGTTGTTAAGTACTGTGGAGTCGGTTCCGACTCATAGCGACCCTGTACAGGGTTCCCGAGGCTGTAAATCTTTTTTTTTTTTTGTAAATCTTTATGGGAGCAGAAAGCCTCATCTTTCTCCCATAGAACAGCTGGTAGTTTCAAAAGGCTGACCTTGAGGTTCACAGCCTGATTTGTAACCACTTCTAACTCCCAGTACTAGTGACTTTATTTGGGAAACGTGCCTATGCTATTTAATTAAGGATTTACAAAATGAGACCATGTAAATTAAACAGGTGAGTCCAAAATCCAATGACAGATGTCCTTATGAGATAGAAGGTAGAAGACCATGTGAAGACATATTGGAGCCACAAGCCAGGAGCACCTCAAGCCACCAAAAGCTGTAAGAGGCAACTAAGAATGTTCCCTTAGAGTCCTGTAGGGAAGTCAGCACCTTGATTACAGACTTTTGACCTCCAGAACTGAGAAAATAAATTTCTGTCATTTTAAGCCACCAAATTTGTGGTAATTTGTTACAGCAATCCAAGGAAATGAATAAGCTAGCATTCTAATATTTTATATATTTCTAAGTCCCTGCCTGTTCGTCCAGTCTTATTTTCTTATCTTTCAACTTTGTTGCTCCTGCTTGCTTTTAATTTCCTCCTTTTTTTTTTTTTTTTTTTGTAAACTTTTAATTTTCCTCCATTATCTTGAGGCCTTTGCACATTCTGTTCCAGTGCATGGATTGCTCTTCTTTATTCTTCAAATTTATTGAAACACTTAAGGGAAAGTTGTGAAAGTTCAGTGACCCTCTAACGCTACTCCATACATCCATAAGATCCTGTGTTAACATCATATAGCTCCTGTCATAGCTAATACCATAGTTTGTATCTATATTAATGTGATTATTAGATTCTACTTCCCTCCCAAATTGTAAACTCGATGAAAATAGGAACCTTGGCGCCGCACCTCCTCGGCCCCCAGGACATCATATTCCCTGTCTGCTGTGCTGCAACAATCTCTTTTTAAATGAATGAATGAATGTCCACTGTTCCAGATTTTGGGATCTTCAGAGAGTTGTGGCTAGGCAGGCTAATTGTATTATTTATCCTCTGTCTCCTTGGAAACCCTATACAAGGTCGCTGCGGGTTGGAATCGACTCGACTGGCACTTAACAACAAACCAAATCACTTCTGAGGACTAAAGGGGATGAACAGAACATGGGAACACTGAATGATTTAAAATTAAGAAAGGTGTGCAACAAGGTTGTATTCTTTCACCATACTTATTCAACCTGTATGCTGAGCAAATAATACAAGAAGCTGGGTTCTATGAAGAAAAACGTGGCATCAGGATTGGAGGAAGACTCATTAACAACCTGCGATATGCAGATGATACAACCTTGCTTGCTGAAAGTGAAGAGGACTTAAAACATTTACTGATGAAGATCAAAGAGCACAGCCTTGGGTATGGATTACATCTCAATGTAAAGAAAACAAAAATGCTCACCACTGGACCAGTAAACCACATTCTCATCAACAGAGAAAAGATTGAAGTTGTAAAGGACTTCATTCTTCTTGGATCAACTAGCAACACTCACAGAAGCAGCAGTCAAGAGATCAGACAACGTATTGCATTAGGCAATTCTGCTGCACAAGACCTTTTTAAAGTGTTGAAGAGCAAAAATGTCACCTGACCCAAGCCTTGGTGTTTTCAATAACCTTATATGCATGCGAAAGCTGGACAGTGAATAAGGAAGACCACAGAAGAATTGATGCTTTTGAGTTATGGTGTTAGAGGAGACTATTGAAAGTGCCATGGGCTGCCCATAGAACCAACAGATCTGTGTTGGATGAAGTGCAGCCAGAGTGCTCCTTGGAGGCCAGGATGGCCAAACTTCGCCTCTCATACTTCGGACATATTGTCAGGAGGGACCAGTCACTGGAGAAGGATATCATGTTTGGTCAGGTGGAGGGTCAGAGAAAAAGAGGAAGACCCCCAAGGAGATGGATTGGCCAAGTGGCAGCATCGATGGACTCAAGCATGGCAACAGTAGTGAGGTTGGCCCAGGATCGGGCAGTGTTTCGTTTTGCTGTGCATAAGGTAGCTATGAATCAATACTGATTCCATGGCACCTAACAACAACAACAAATTAATACTGAGTTGCCGGGTTGGTTACTGTCCCTGTCATGGGTAAAGTGTTATGTCAAGGACTAGAACAAATCGGAAGGCAGAAACGTAACTGAAAAGGTTTGGGCACAACATTGGAGGGGAGTGGGAAGATAATTTAAATGTGCTTAATTGCCACAACACTTTAATTGTGTGTGTGGTTTTTTTTTTTAACATCAAATACTCATCTGCTCATTCATTGTCTGTGACCCTTTCTAGAATGGACGATCCATAAGGGACTTTATTTTGTTCACTGATTGTATCCCACTGCCTGGTACATAGCAGCAGCTCAGAAATACTTACTGAATGAATACAGCTGAATATTATTATGTTCTGAGTATGTGTGTGAATAAATGAACAATCAAACTACCAAAAAAAGGGAGAAAGAAATCTAAATTAGTAAGCATAAGACTCAAGACTGGAGTCTTGGTGTAGATGTAGAAGCACTGAACTTCTAACCAAAATGTCAGACGTTCAAACCCACCAGCTGCTCCTTGGAAACTCTATACAGGGTCGCTTTGAGATGGAATCGACTCGATGGCACTAAACAAGGCTCAAGACTAGCAGGGTAGGAGACCTAATAATTGCCAAGGTTTGGGGCTGAAGACATAGCTGCAGAGAGGCTCCAGAGGCAGCCGAGCCATGGAACGGTTTAACGCCTCCCGCTCTCTCAGCCGCAAACGCGCGTGAATCGCGTCTGCCTCCCTCATCCCTTTTGTCGTTCCCCTCCGGCCCACGTCCCCCACACTCGACACAGCCTCCCTCCGTTTTCCTTTCCTCGGGTCTCCTTCAACCCCCGAGGCCCCTGCCTCAGCTAGGTTTCCTCCAGTCTCTGCCCTCCAGATACCCTCGACTCGCGCAGCCCCTTCCTCCGAGCCCCAAGCATCCTGCGCCGGCCCCGCCCCCGCCTAGCAGCGCGGACCAGCTCACGCCGCACAGCGCCCCCCCAGCGCGGACCTCTGCGGCTGCGCGCTGGCGGGGCCGAGGCCGAGGGAGGGGGGTCGCGCGGGGGGCCGGCGGAGCTGCTGTGGCGGCGGCGGGAGACACAGCGAGCCCAGCGGCTGCGGGCAGACCTAGAGGGAGCGGTGGAAGTGGTCATGTCTCGCTACACGAGGCCCCCCAACACCTCCCTGTTCGTCAGGAATGTCGCGGACGCCACCAGGTGAGCGCCTGCCGCCGCAGGTTGAGGGCGCGGGGGAGGGGCGGTGTAACGGTCGTCGTGGAGCCTGGCCGAGACCCGGCGGCTCCGCCGGCTCCTTCCCGCGGGCCCTGCGCCTGCTGCGGACGAGGCGCTCTTTTTGGAGGTGGTGAGAGTCCTTCGGCTGCTCCAGGGCCTGGGCGGGACTCGCGCCTCCGCCCTCCGGCCGGCGTTCAGCCCTAGCTCGGCGCAAATTCACAGCCCGGCCCTGCCACGCTTTGCGCGTCTCAACACGGCCCCCGGCGGGCGGGTGCCCATCCTCTGCTCGCGCGGCCGTGGAGCGCTGGATGCACCTTTCCCGGTGACCGAGGCCCCTCCCCTTCTCGTGCCGGGAGTGTTTCCGCTCGGGCGGGTGTCCACGTTTTAGCCCCTTTGTCGCCCTGCCCTAGCGCGGACCTCCATCAAACCGCGCGATTTACCCGCCTTGGTGAAGAAGAATTGGGGATGTTGAGGACATCCCAAAATCATGCGTGCCCTGGGCCTTACTATTTTCTTTCTCCCAAGTCGGGCCAACTTACAGGTGGTGCTGATTACATTGCATTTTCCCAGTTTTATTCCATACACAAGGAATAGCTTCATATCATGAAATGTATGCGTTTTGAAGTTCTGAGTACTGTTTAAACACCCACTATAACGGGGTTTGGGTAGACTTCCCTGGTCGATTCTGACGCTCTTAGACCTCACCATCTCTGTTTGAGAATTCTGTCTACATAGTGGCTAAGCATAGGCTGTAAGTAATGACTGCCAGGTAGTATATGTCCCTTAGTAAGTGCCAGAGTGAATAGACATTTTCACTGATTTATTTCATTTACTCCTCTCCTGCCCCAATATCTTTCTATGTAAGCATTATCATTTTACATTCCATAAAGTGGAAGCTCAAGAGTTCAAATAATCTGAAATTGCACACCTACCTATACATTGTTGCTGTTGTTACATGCCGTCGGAACCGACTCGACGGCACTTAACAACAGCAACAATGCAGTTAGCGAAGGAGTCTGAATTTGAACCCTTGTTTTGCTTATCCAGTTGCAGTCTAGTCCATTCTGACTTGTGACTTCATCAGATTTTCTTGCTGGTAAATGATGACGCAGGCTGTTTGCAGATGGATTGCTAACTTAAAGGTTAAACACATCCAGCGGCCCTTCTGAGGAAAGACCTGAATTAACCAGGTGGGCCCTAAATTCCATGACGAGTGTCTTGATAAGACAAAGAAGGTAGCATCTGTGATCTGCTGCTTGTAAAGAGTCCAACCAAGAAATTCCAATAGAGCAGTCTACTCTGTAATACATGGGTTTGCCATCATTTGGATTGACTTGAAGGCAGCTAACAACCATATTTACAGAAGCAGATCACCCAGCCTTTCTTCTGCGGTGCTGCTGGATGACTTTGAATCCCCAACCTTTAGGTGAGAGTTTTCAACTCAAAGTGACTCTGTATAGGGTTTCCAAGACTAAATCTTTGCAGGAACAGCAATTGAGCACGATTTGTATCACCTAGGGACTTTTTGTAATCATTATAATTTGCTTATTGATGGTATATCTATTAAGGTTTTTTTTTTAATGCATACAGATATATGAGAGGCTTCAAAAAGTTCATGGAAAATGAAAAAGATAATGGAATTTTTCACAGTTTTTGATGCCCCCTCATATATGATAGAACGTTGGTAGTGTAGTGGTTACGAATTGGGCTGCTAACTTCAAGGTTGGCAGTTCGAAACTGCGGGAGAAAGATGAGGCTTTCTGCTCCCGTAAAGATTTGCAACCTCGGAAACCCTGTGCAAGGTCACTATGAGTCCGAACCGACTTCATGGTACTTAACAACAACAACATAAACAATATTTAAAAGTTTATGCTAGTATTTGCATTTCTCTTCCTAACCTGTTTATCAATACAGTACATAGAAAACTAAAGCAAAAATTGTAATTTAGCTTGGGTTAAAAAAACCAAAACACTGTTTAGCAGACCACTTGAATAGATATTAAGCTTCTCCAGTGTGCTCACCGTCAAGGTTTCCAAAGTTAAATATGGCCACAGGAGCTAGCCAGGGTAATATACATGAGTGATGTTGTCAGGTTATAAGGCACGTTGTTGTTGTTGTTAAATGCTGTTGAGTCGATTCCAACTCAGAGCTACTCTGTGTAGGGTTTCCGAGGAGTGTCTGGTAGATTTGAACTGCTGATCTTAGCACACCGGTTCTTATTCGGCAATAGGACTCCATAAGGCACAACAGGGTGTAGCAAATGGGAGGAGAACATGTGTCATCTAAAAGACACAGCAGCTGCTACTAATTACCAGCTGATAGCTAGCTGCCTTGTAGGAATTTGTACTCATTGCTGCCAGATCTTTCTAATTTTTTAAGAAGTCAGAAATCAGGGTTTCTAAATATTGGCATTAAATTGAATCATATGGAATTATCCCTTTTATAAATTTAGAAATGGAAATATTTGCAATTTCATATGATTCAATACATTTTTAAATAAATGTGTAAACATCGTACTATCAAAATGAAACACATCTTCAGGTGACACCTACCTTCTAATTGAGGTAATCCACCATTAAATAAGTGAGACAATAATTGAGATTTAGCGGTTTGGTTTCCCTTTTCATTACCACTTTATAGCATTGCCACTGGAGAACCAGCAAAATTGAAGACGTTATATGTATTAAATGAAATAATAATTGTTGTTGGTAGGTGCCATCGAGTTGGTACCAACTCATAGCAACCCTGTGCACAACAGAACGAAACACTGCCTAGTCCTGGGCCAACCTCACAATTGTTGCCTTGCTTGATCCCATTGATGCTGCCACTTTGCCAATCCATCTCACTGGGGGTCTTCCTCTAACATTTATTGTTTCAGAGTCTCTTCTGACAACCGTTTTGGTCTTCTGTTTTTTTCTTGTCTTTTTAATGACCTCTTGGTTTCTTCATGTAGTTGTCCTTGATGTCATTCTATAACTCATCTGGTCTTCAGTCATTAGTGTTCAGTTTTTCTAATGTATTCTTGAAATGTTCTCTAAATTCAGGTGGGAGATACTCAAAGTTGGAAACCCACGGGGCAGTTGTACTCTGTCCTACAGGGTAACTCTGCGTCAGAAACCGTTTACTCGACATCACTGGGTATAATCAAGATTGTATTTTGGCTCTTGTGGATTTGTTTTAATTTTCTTAGACTACAGCTTGAATTTTTGTATGAGCAATTGATGATGTGCTTTGTACTTGGCCCCTAGTTTTGTTTTGTCTGATGATACTGAGCTACTCCATCTCTTTCCACAGGTATAGTCAGTTTTATTCCTGTGTTTCATCCTGTGAAGCCCATGTGTATTAAGTGCTATTGAGTTGATTTCAACTCTTATCGACTCTGTGTAGGGTTTCCGAGGAGCAGCTGGTGAGTTTGAACCACCGACCTTGCTGTCCAAACTGACCTTATAGTTCAGGGCTTGTTCTATAGTACCACATCCTGACTCTCCACTCTTAGGTATCGGCCCCCCCCCCCCAAATAGCACTATATATCTATATCTATTTATCTATCTATATGTATGTTAACATGAATACATATAAAAAGTTCATACCAGTTTTATTTATAATTGCCAAGAATTGGAAACTACCCAAATGTCCATCAACAGAGACTGGATAAGCAAATTGTGTTAGATTTACGTCATAGAACTGTTAGGAATTTAACATCTGTGACCCCCAAAATATGTTGCAACTCCTAATCTTGCTGCCTGTGGTTATAATCCCATTTAGAAATGGGTTGTCTTTGTTAATGAAATAGGACTACTGTAGGGTATATCTTTAGCCAGTCAAATCTTTTTTGAGAGATTAAAGCAAGCTAGCAAGCCAACTAGGAAAGAGAGATACCAAGACACATGAAAAGCGCCTGGAAGCAGAAGCTCAGAAGAGATCTTCCTTCAGAGCCCACAATTTAAAAGCCTTCCCCTAGAGGCCACACTCTGATTTCGAACTTCCAGCTTCCTAAACTGAGAAAATAAATTTCTGTTTGCTAAAGCTACCCAGTTGTATTATTTCTGTTGTAGCAA